CGCTTCACAAAGCCTTTTTAGATTGCTTTTTGCCCCTTTCTAAACCTTTTCGATATTTTATTGTACTTTTTCACACGGCATGGTGTAAATATTTTTGGGACTTTTTCCGAAGTTTCGCATTTCTTCAGGAGCATTCGGAATTGTTCGATTTTTCTATGGGATTTTTTGGTATTTTTTAAGAATCCAATAAATGTTGNCCTCGAGATCTTGTCTGAGAGCCCCTTTGAATTTTCTGGGAATGTCCCTGTTCTTATTGAGCCTGCGGAACATTCTGGTTTTTTTTTCATGTAATTTTGTCGAATTTTTCGCAGCAGTTTTGGGAATTTTTCGAGACCTTTTACGTCTTGTTTGTGTTTTTTCGGGAGTTTTTAAAAATTTCTAAAGCCATTTGAGGACACATCAACATTATTAGAGAACTTTCAAGACTTCTTCATTTCCTTTCTAGATTTTTCGGCATTAGTCTTGACTTCCAAAACTTTTCGAATTATTTCAGGCAGTTTGGACTTTTGCAGACTTTCGCAATTTTTTTTTTACCACTCTTATTTTTTTCGGGATAACCCGAAGCATATGAAACCTTTTGAGATTTTTTCAGAACTTTACTGTATTTCAAGTCGCTTCAGATTTTCACAGGCGTTTTTCAAAGGCTTTCCAATGTTTAATTTATCTTTTCTATATGGACTTCTCGGCACTAAGGATTTGCAAGGCTGATTTTTCAATAATTTTTCACCACCTACCTGTATTTTTTTTCTCGACTTGTGGAAGTTTTCGAAATTTTCTCAGAAGTTTTCTCTTTTTTCGGAATGCTTACAGTCGTTTTCGGAATTTTTCGTATTTACTTGTGTGGGCTACGGGAATTTTCGGGAAACGGGATTTTTTCGTCGAGGACTTTCAGATTCTCTCTCGGAATTTTTCGTGATTAAATTTATTTTATGTGGTCCTTTTCTGGAATCAGTATTTTTTCAATATCTTTGGAATACTAAAATATTTTTACTGCCCTTGCGGATATTATCGGAACCAAACTCGGCATGATTTTGGCAGAGCTTTTTGGAGCTTTTCGTTTCTTACTCGCATCTCTTCGGGTATTAGCTCAGGCATTTCGCACTGCTATGGTTTTTCTTAATTTCTTTCTGGAGCACTAGGTGTTATTTTAATACTTAATGAGAGTCGCAGCTTTTCACTTTCATTTAATTTCATTTATTGGTTTATCCTAACACAAAAATTTTCGGAATTTTATTCAGGATGTTTCGGGATTTATGTGGGAGCTTGCGGAATATTTACGTTTTTCAGGACTTTTTGGGATCTTAAAGATTTTTTTCTTGACCTTTTTCCGGAGTTTTCGAGATTTTTCGTAATCTTTTGCTCCTCATTCGGGACTATTCACGTTTTTTTTTCACCGTTACACGCTTCACAAAGCCTTTTTAGATTGCTTTTTGCCCCTTTCTAAACCTTTTCGATATTTTATTGTACTTTTTCACACGGCATGGTGTAAATATTTTTGGGACTTTTTCCGAAGTTTCGCATTTCTTCAGGAGCATTCGGAATTGTTCGATTTTTCTATGGGATTTTTTGGTATTTTTTAAGAACGTTTCTAACGTGAAGAAATTTTCCAGACTTTTTTCAGTGTGTTTGGGATTTTTCTAGGAGCTCCCAGAGTTCATTAAAATTTCTTCCAAATGATTTTCAAAAGATTTTAGATTTTTTCATGATTTTTCGAACTTTAAGGGATTTTCGATATATATTCTTAGAACTTTTCGAAGTTCTTTCGAAACTTTCCAGGGCGTTAGGACTCTTTTCGAGGGCTTTCAAAATTTTAAAAAAAAAGTTTGGCAACTTTGGGGCTTTTTTGTGTATTTTCGGACTTTAGGGTATTTTTTAAATTATCCTGGAATTTTTTTCAAAACTTTCAAAAGCTCATCGAAACTTTTTTAAGAGCTTTCGACCTTTTGTGTATTACAGTGGAAACTTTTTGGGATTTTTTCGAAAAATTTTCATTTCATTCATATATTTAAATCTTAATTTGTTACTTTCTGTTTAAAAATTATCAGGCCAATTTGTTTGTATATTGAAACTCTAAATATAACCCGAATGTTTGTTTATTAAAATGAACACTATTTCCGACCAACACACTGATACGATCGATCTACTGTCTAACAAACCATAAACAAAACTGTCAATCACTATAAGAACGCATGTAGTGTGGCTATTGATTGGAAACAACAACTAACCGCAGTCTATTTTAAACCCGCAATGGATCAACAATTGCACGCTTGGTTTCGGTACGCTGCGGTCTTAGGAATTTACTCGCGAGACGCGTCCTCAACTATCCCCATAATTCATGGCATTCAGCCTATTGAAGCAAACTCTAAACGTCGACTGCGCTGTGTTGCGCGCCGCAGCAGAAGCTTCAACCTACAACGCTTCTGCATCTCTATGCAACTACCATTGGTACTCATTTTTTATGCGCATGGCGTGATCTGGCGGCAACGTTTACCATCTACCATGCTCACATGGTTTGTGGCCACCATACTCTTCACTTCACAAGCCATGGCGAACTTCCTGATTATCTACGAAACGCTGTGGAAGCAGCAGGAGCACGAGGCCTTTCTCCTTCTGCTTCAACAGATTAGTGTGTCTTTCAGGCTGCGTCTACGGCAGGACACTGTTGAACGGAATTTCTCAACGAACTTACGTCGCTATCTTTGCTATCAGCTAACACTTGCATTCAGCGGTATTTCTCTCTTCCTGCTGTCTACACTATGGCTGCAATATGTCGGCTATTTTTGGTATGGCCTATGGTTCATGACCACAATGCGTATACGCATTATTCAACTTGTGATCTACTTGCGTGTGCTGCGTCACTACATGGAATGCCTTTGCGTGAAGTTGCGTCAAATTGTAGCCTACCACACAGCGCCCACGCGTCAATTGTTGGACATCGACTATGCGAAGCTGCAATCGCATGAATACCTGCTCGCCATCAAAGAGATTTATGCGCTGCTCTTCGATGCATTTCAATTGTTAAACAAATTCGCCGGCTGGTCGCTGCTTAGCATTGTCACTTGCTATATGCTGGATATCAGCTGTAACATATACTGGACAATATTAAGCTTAGAGGGCTATTCCTCGCGACGTAATTTCTACTTGGCTAGCTTGTGGTGGCTTTTGCCTATGATCGCGGTGGTCTGGCATATTTGCCGGTTGTGTGAGGCTTGCAAGCAGCTTGTATGGTTAAAAGTTTAATATTCATTGAAAACTTTATACGAAAACATTGCATACTTTTAGGATCGTTCAATAGCCCACTTATTAAGCAAAATATTGATTAAAAGTACGGCTGCTTCCTTTGCAACTTATCGCCGGGCATTACATCACTTTACTATACAGCTGCAGCTGCAGCGCGTCGAGGTATCTGCAAAGCATGTCTTCATTTTAGACGGGCATTTGCTGATGTCGGTAAGATTGAGAGTGTGCTTTGGTATTGTTTAAAAAGTTTATGTTTCCTTTTATTCTCCTTTCAGATTATCACAGCGATAGCTGCGTATCTTGTTATATTAATACAGTTTTTGTACTCTTAAATTATATTTATAAACTCAGTTACAACTAAAGATCTATCACAAAATTATTCATAAATTATAATGTGTGTATAAGAAATCATGTAAATCTTTTCGCCAACTTATTAACTTAAATATTCATCCATCGAATACCATAAGTCTACAAAAAACCTTCTCCACAAAAATTCGAAAACGGCATTCGTATTTATTTGGGCATATTTAGATCGGCGAGTTCGGATATGCCCTCCGTTTTTTCAGATTGGCTCCCATTTACGAATAATTGTGAATTGTGTAAATTTTTCAGCTTCTAAAATTTTGATGCTTTCTCAAATTAAATGAAATCAATAACTTAAAAATATAAAAAAAAAGAATGGAGTAATGTGTGTTAAAGACCCATACGTTCTCGTCGAAGCTGAATAGAGAGTGTTATTGTCCAGTTGCATAGTTCATCTAAAGATATTCCGTGATCACTGAAATTTGAGGACATATAAATCAGTAAATCGCGGTACTCAGCTCCGACGAAAGCATTTGAGCATCGAGCGCACTTTTCCTCATTCGTTTTCTAATAATATTAAGTTATTTTTACTGATAAAGAAAGCAGTAGGAAGAAACTAGCGGAGCATCGGGTTTTTTCACCAGATCTTTGACAAACAATATTCGATCAAACTATCAGATTTTTAATTATGCCAGCATCGACTCTCCCTATAATTAACCGTTGAACATTTCTGCTTGGAATATCTTTTGAAGGATCTTAAACTTTAAATAGCGGAGAAAGGAGACGTTGGCGAACAATTTTATAACAGAGGTTTATTGCCAAGGATCCAAAATATGTTTATCCCTATAAAAGAATATTGCCCGACGAGACCCGACAAGCATCAAAATGACTGTTATTTATTTGAAATTTCTGCTATTAATAGGCAGCTCTTAGGCCGTGGTACAAAAATGCCAAAAAAATGCAAAAACGGAGCAGAAAGTGGAGTATTCGTTCGATTTTAGATAGAGGAGAGCAACTGACTTTTTATTTTTTAACCGACTTCCAAAAAAGGAGGAGGTTATCAGTTCGTCGAAATATTTTTTTTTTTATGTATGTTACCGCATAACTTTGGACCACGTCAACCGATTTCGATAATTCTTTTTGCATCGGAAAGGTAGTGTCTCAGAGGTGATCCCATACTAATGTGGTTGAGATCCGATCAGTGGATCAGGTTTTTTTTTTGCTAAAAATTACTTGTTTACATTGAAGGCATTCGGTTGAATGTTTTGTGGTATAAAAACAGTGCAAATTTGTGATTGTATTAGTGTGTTTGTCTTCTACTCAACGAGGAGCTACGTATCTCTTACTACTATCTCAAACAGGATATTATCAAAAACTAATTAAACAAAATGAATACACTTTTCCACAAGTGGAGAATTTACCACAACGCTCAGCCGAGTTTATTCTTGGCCCGCGAAATGAAGCAAGCACTACGTATTTGGCTACGCGTCTGCCTGTTCTTTGGCATTTACGTAAAGTCCACGCAAGACGACGCCGACAACAACAATACTCCGGAAAGGAAGCGCAAATACTTTCGAGCAGCTCCAAATCGCAAGCATTCAAACTGCTTGGTCGCTCGCTGTAGATGCATCTTTCGCCCGCAACACCTCTATATTTTCCTGCTAACATTAATGCTCTGCACGCTTTACGCGCACGGCATCCACTGGCGTCGTAGCGTACCTACACTGCAGCTCACCTGTATCGTCTCAGTTATACTCTTCACTTTCCAGCTAGGCACAAATCTGCTCATTATCATGGAAGCAGTTTGTAGACACTCCCAACACACCGCTTTTCTACAGCTACTCGAGCAGATCGAAGTTTGCTTCAAGTTATGTCTGCGGCAGGATGTGCAGAAGTCGGCGCTGCTGACAGACGTGTACTTCCTCACCGGCAGCTTGGTTGCGTTTTCCTTAATCACATTTGCACTCTTTATGGTAACCTCATTCTGGATCAACTACATTGGCTTCTTTTGGCATGGGCTTTGGTCTATACTCACCTTGCGTGTGCGTCTCATACAACTCCTAATTTACGTGCGCATACTGCAACACTATCTGCAGTGTCTTTGCGCCAAATTAGAGCAAATTGTTGCCTATCATTTGGCGGCACAGCGCAAAATATTGAATATCAGCTATGAACGACTGGCTTCACTTGAATACCTGCTGGCCATCGGGGAGGTTCATGACGGCATCTACAAGGCATTTGCGCTATTGAACTACTTTGCTGGCTGGTCACTGTTCGGCATTGTCATCTGCTATATTTTTGACATGACTTGCAATATCTATTGGATGCTACTCAGTTTGGATGGATTCCCAAATCGGCAGAACTACTACATTGCCGGTCCGTTGACATTTGTGCCGCTTGTTGTAATCATTGGCTATTTGTGTTATCTGTGTGAGAAGTGCAAAGAATTGGTATGCGCCGTAAAACTATGCTATGAAATATTAAAAAAAATGTTGCATAATTTTAGGGTGGCAACATAGCCTATTTAATAAGCAAAATAAAAGTGTTGAGTTCCATGGAATATATGGCTTCCTATCGCCTAGTTTTGCATCGTTTTTCGGCACAACTAAAATTGCAACGAATCGAGGTAATGGCACACAATTTTTTCATCTTGGAACTGGGGCTTTTGAAGAGTGTACGTGAGTTTAGTAATTGTTTTAGAACATTTTTTATCCAAAATATTAAATAAAAGACGAATTTCTTTTTACAGATTCTCGTCCTGTCAATAACAAATTTGATAATGCTAACACAGTTTTTAAATTTAGAGCTGGAGTGGTTGGCCCTGGAGCAAGAGTTAAATAACGTAACATATGGAACCGCAAATCTGTGAGAGAGTAATGCCTGCAAGAGAGAAAAGTAATAAAATAAGTTCTTCTTCTTCTTTATTGGCGCTGTAACCGCCTAAGCGATTTTGGCCGAGTCCAAAACAGCACGCCAGTCATTTCTCTTCTGTGCTAACTGACGCCAATTGTAAATGCCAAATGAAGCCAAGTCCTTCTTCACCTGGTCTTTCCAACGCAGAGGAGGCCTTCCTCTTCCTGTGTTACCAGCATCGCGGCCCGCGTTGAATATTTTCAGAACAGGAGCGTTTCTGTCCATTCGAACGACATGGCCAAGCCAGCGTAGCAGCTGAATTTTAATTTGCTGCACTATGTCTATATCGTTGTAAAGCTCATACAGCTCATCGTTAAATTGTCTGCGATATTCGCCATCACCAACGCGTAAAGGTCCGTAAATCTTTCGCTGAATCTTTCTCTCGAAAACTCCAAGAGCCACCTCATCAGATGCTTTCATTGTCCATGCCTCCGCGCCGTACACCAGCACAGGCAATATGAGTGACTTATAGAGTTTGATCTTTGTACGACGAGAGAGGAATTTACTTCTCAATTGCCTACTCAGCCCAAAGTAGCACTTGTTGGCAAGAGTGATACTCCGTTGGATTTCAAGGCTGACATTATTATAAATAATATTAATAAAATAAGTTACGGTGCATAAATGAAGGACTATATCTTTCTATTATTCAATCATAGGCAGTTTTATCAAGTGAGTTAACTATGTACTTCTATTGGAGCAGAATAGCGTTCAATTTTCTCTGAGACGCTTGTATCCCTTGCTTCTTTAAGAAATGTTTAAGGCATTGCCTGAGATATTTTTTGAGTGATTTTGAGCGAACTCAGCAAACGACAACGTAATTGTTTCGGTGCCATGTAGATTAAAATATACTGCACTTGACAAAGCCCCGACGAACCCGCATTAGCCCGGCAACCAGCATAGAACAATCAAATGGCTACGATCTCATTAAGCCGATAGATGGTCCGACTCTTGCTGTTTCAACGGTTATTTCATTTCCCCAGCCTCCCCATGAACGTAGCATATGTAGGGTCATAAATTATTCCTGGTTCGATTTAGATGGTTTCCGAGCCATCTCCTACCAGTTCTTTGGTGCTGGACTCATCCTTAGCGCATCATTGACAACTGCACAATAGTATACCACCCAGATATTATCGATTTTTTTGCACTTTTCTGAGGACTATCACCAGCTTCTTAACAGGCTTGGTTTTTCTGCGCCAAACAATTGGAAAGGGCCCAGGAAGGCCGCTTAGTTATCTAAATGCGCTTACCATTGTGTAAGATTTCTATACTGCTTTGGGAAAAGTCGTCGCTGATAACTTGAGTCCGCCGAAAATTGGACACATTTCTTAGACGCGGAGCTTAGACGCGGAGCTTAGCACTACCTCACACTGCTCAAAGGTGATATTATTTACTCCCTACTCTGATTATCTCTAACCATATCAACGGGTACATGCTGATAGCCGCGTTCAGCGCGAAAATTGTAGCTTCACTTCCAGCTATAAATCTAGGCAGGTAGCAACCCCAAAGGAGTGGTATCATCCACGTAACTCTCGGGGGACATTTCGGTGGTTTTTAGCATCAGAAAAAGCTGGAAATGAAACCCTATTCTTTGTTGCTTTTGACCCAGTTGCCCCGTTTACCTGTTGCACCTAAAACTAAGCCATTAGCAGTTAAGAGACTACGACTAGGCAAATGTGGGTTGTAGAAATTAGCTTACCGTCGAAAGACGGCAGAATTAACATTGCTAATTTGTCCAAGAAGGGATCGACGAATTTCAAGCTTGTTGCAGCCCATGTAAGCAGCCCCCAACAACTTGTACACCATAATTATTTATCGGGCATTGAACATAAAACTTTTAGCAAAATATCCCTTAAGCCATGCACAATCGCGCGCTGCCATGACCGCCATCAGTCTACCGCAGGCACGTGTGCAAATAAACGTATTGATGAATTAATAAGTAATTGCATGAAATTAAACGCTTTTTTTCATAACCTGTGTATGTGGTATCGTATGCAAGTACCCAAGTAGATAATCTCAAAAGTCGCAAAACATCTATTTACCTGTCATCTAAATCGGTAAATTTTTCAGCTCTCCTCACCGCCTGCCTGCACTCAATTTATTTATTGATTTCATTAGTAGCCAGTTGAATGCGGGCCGTTCGTGTGCACGTGTAATGGAGCAACAATTACGCGCTTGGTTACGCTACTCCATAGTATTTGGGCTCTATACGCAGTCATGCGAAGAACATACTACCAATAAAATCGAATACTGCTCACCTTCGAGTCCAGCAGCCCGACAAAATAAGCGACCGGCATGGTGTGTAAGCATAAAAATCAACTGCCATCAACGCTTAAAAAATGCTTACCTGTATGCGCTTCTTCCATGGATTTGCGCACTTTACGTGAATGGCCTGGTCTGGCGTAGACCCATACCGGGCACTATGCTCAGCTGGTTGGTGGCCACACTATTTTTCACTTCTCAAACGCTTTCGACTTTGCTTATTGCAGCTGAGGGCATTTGGCGACAGCAGGAGCATGAGGAGTTTCTACGGCTGCTGCAAGAGATTGAGCTATCGCTTAAATTGCGCCTAAAACAGGATATAAAACTCGACTGGTTGGCGCAATATGTGCGCTTCCTTTTGAAATATCTGCTATCGATTTCGTTCATTTGTTATGGCTTGTTTATTTACAACTTTGCGCCATTGCAATATGTCGGCTACTTTTGGAATTCAATTTGGTTTGCACTGACAATGCGTTTTCGCTTACTCCAACTGATGATTTATGTACGTGTACTGCAGCATTATATGGAGTGCCTCTGCGTGAAGGTGCGCCAAGTTGTAGCCTATCGCACGGCACCGAGTCAACAGCTGATGGACATTGACTACGCGAAGCTGCAATCGCTCGAATGCCTTCTGGCTATCAAAGAGATTTACTCGTTACTTTTCAGGGGGTTTCAATTGCTCATAAACTTTGCAGGTTGGTCGCTATTCAGCATTATAACTAGTTACATGTTGGACTACGGTTGCACACTCTATTGGGCAATGCTCAGCTGGGAAGGCTACCTGGAACGTCGCAACTACTATATCGCCTGCTTTTGGTGGCTTTTGCCTATGACAGCAATTATTTGGCATCTTTGCTCGTGGTGCGATAATTGCATTAAGCTGGTGAGTCTTAGAGGGAGCAGCGAGAACCAATTTTATTTTATTTTTTAACACTGAATACTTCTAGGATCGCTCTCTGGCAGCGCTAATGACCAAAATAATCATTAGTCGTTTTTCGAAGTCATTGCGCTCGTATCGTCTCTTAGTTCATCAATTCTCGACACAACTACAGCTGCAACGCATTGAAGTAACAGCTACGAATTTTTTCACGCTGGACTTGCGCTTGATCATGTCGGTGAGCCAATACGTATACTACATACAAAAATGTTGAGTAGTTCAATATTTTTCTTCTGTTTTACAGATCGGCATAGCTATAGCTACCTATTTGGTAATAGTAATTCAATTCTTGAGTATATAAAGTTTATAAACCGTTTCATAAGTGCAACCAAAACTTAATAAAACGGGACAAGAGGCTATGTTATAAATAAAAAAGGTATAGCTTTTTTAGGCCGCACAGACATATGGACATAATTGACTCGCCAATCTAAACACGGTTAGAACGCTACAACTGCAACTCTTGGTCATAGAATATGGGCGATATTCCGGTTCTTAGAACTGACAGTCGCGGTAATAACCTTCGCTCGAAAGTAAACGATGGTTTTTTTATCTAGCTTTCTCCTGGAATGCAAATATACTTGTCCCAATCCACTTGTCAAATCTGTTAAAACAAACCTCTTCTGACAGCGACCGAGCGCCTACATCTGATTATTGAATAGCATTTGCAAAGCGAGGTTCAAATGTGGCCTGTGCGATAACGCCACTTTAAGCGCGGGAAACAGCCGAAGAGGCAACTGCTTGGGTCAATCGTGTCTTGCGCTGCAAAAAGTATTTTAAAGTGTCCTATAAAAACATTTGCTTCAGCAGAGAAACATCTTACTTTCCCCTTTTATGTCACAAAAGGAGCGTTCTTCACAGTCCTCACATGCGGTAATAAGCGCCAGTGTAGGTGTGGTTCCTTATGCTCCACTAATTCCAATTAGGACGATCCGCTGCAAATGCTCCAGTTGCATAACAAGTGTGGCCTTCTCTAGTGAATTCCACCAGGCAAGGGCTCCGTGAAAAAAGATAAGCTTAAATGTGGTTTCATAGAGCTAATGAATTATTTTGGGGGAGAGACCTCACCTTTTACCGATAGCTCTTCTACAGCAGTACAAGGCAACCGACACCTTTCTCACTCTTTCCTCAATGTTAGGCTTCCAACACAGCTTCCTATCTAGGAAGTACTTGACCCTGTTTGAAAGCCGCAAACGAACAGTTCACTCGAGGTAAGAGCCACAACGGGTAGCTTGTACTTCCTGGTAAACACAACCAGTACCGCCTTGCTGGGATTTACTGAGAGGCCGCCGTTGATCGCCCACCTAGTTACGTGTTTCAGAACACCTTGAATCACATCAAAAAGGGTGTCTAGAAATCGTCGCTTAACCGAAAGTTCCACATCATCTACATAGGCGTTAACCCGACAGCCCACTTTTTCCAGTTCCTCTAGAAGGTCGTTTATAACCGCAATCCAGAGCAGTGAAGAGAGAACACCACCTTACGGAGTGTCCCCATTTACTCTACGCTGAGTGCAGGCGCTCCCCCATTCCGCCGCGACAGTTCTGTCACGAAGTAAGCTGTAAATAAGCCTTATTAGGTTGGTTTCAACCGCCATGTTATGATTAGACTTGACTATTGCCTCTGGAGTGACATTGTTGAAGGCCCCCCTTCTGTATAATCTTTATGCTTGAAGGCTTCCTATAACCACTTTACCAATGTGTGCAGGCCGGTATCCACCGAACTTTCCTTGCAATAAGCATATTGAGTTCAATTCTCATCGATGCATTGCTATAGGTCCAATTTAAAATATTGACAAAAATATTAGAGAGGCCATGTTTGTAAATTTGGGTCAAAGAAAACTTATAAGATAAAGAAAATGTTGAAGTATGGCGTTAAAAGAAAGAGGTTAAAGAAAGCCTATTGCCATACCTAAACAAAAGTGTTGAATTGGGCGTTTTCTGACGCCTAGCGTTAACGCCGAAGTGCAATACCTAAACAATAACGGCAACGCTGGTCAAATGAAGAAATAACACCAACAATAAGCATAGGAACTACGAAAATGATAGTTTCGCCGTTTTCTGCAGCCAACTTCACTTCCTAGCGCCCTGTCAAAATCGGATTTTCTAACCGCTAAGCGTTGGCGTCGCGTTATTTCGGTATGCTTCATCCAAATTGTGTGGACATGAGAATTTTTTGACAGCCAGACAACGCTGACGGTTTTGTTTAGGATGGCTTTTACAGCCGAAAATATTTTTTCGAAGGTTGCCAGCTGTTTGAAAATTTTAATTCAATCAATAAATACTACAAAATACTCGGCGTGCTTCGCTATAATTTTTAAAAAGTGACAAACCTACTCAAAAAGTATACATTATTGTACATCTAAACGCCGAGCCCCTTTATTTGACACCTAATCTCTTGTAATCCAAAGGCCAGTGCGGATCTTATAATATTTTAGACATGTGGCAACTTTATAGGAATTTAAAGTACTAAAGATAATATTCCTATCGATACAGATTATACTTAAAAAATCTCGTCTACATCCGTTCAGTAGTTTTTGAGATTAGCATGTTCAAAGAATCTCGACTTTCTTTTAAACTATGTATAGAAGACAGTCATTTTTAAGTAGGTGGTAACCCTGCTCAAAAAAAAAATAATGTTTTTTTACATGCGAAGGCCATGCCCTTTCTTTTGATATCTCATTTTGTAATCTAACGGTGAAAATCTTTTTACTTTTTATTAGGTGGCAACCCTGCTCAGAAAAATAATCCGTTATTACACATGTAGAAGTCAAGTCTTTACGTTTGACTGCGACGATGCAGAACTGATGCCTGCGCTTATTATGATTGTATACAGTAATTGTATCAACAGGTGGCAACCTTATTCAAAAAAAATAAAAGATTTTTGCTTTTCTAGAGGCTCATCTCTTTCATTTCTTATAGTTTTTTAGACCGGTGGCAACCCAATTAATATTCTAAATGAAAAAGGTCACTCTCCTATCGATACAAAGTACATATATCGAAGCAAATCGCGTCAAATTCCGTTCAGTAGTTTTGAAAGATTACTGCTTACAAAGACTCTAGAGTTTCCTTAATACTATGTATAGATACTGCAGTCCATATTTATATAGTAAGGAGATTTTTTTCAAATTACCTAAATATACGGTATTTGAATATTGGATTAATACACGTTTGAGGAAAGGGTGCTATGATAGGCTGCAGTTATAAGATTATAAATTAAATTTCAAAGAGAAAGTCGGTCAGTATAGTATAGACCTCTTGCAATCGTGTGAATTCGCTTACACAATAAGCAACAGTACTCTCCCCAGCCGATGTTTCGTCTCAGTCATTTCCGGTTAGCCGTCAATACGCAATGAAACGCGTGTAATCAAATAGTACGATAAATCAATTTTATCTAACATAATCTATATCTAATATACATATTAACTAAGTAGATAGTCTCAAAAGCCAATGGACAGGTATTTTAGCCCGCTCTTACCTGATGATTTTCTTCACTCTACTGACCTCAGTAAATGCCTAGTTATCTAGTTGAGTGACACCCATACGATTGCACGTGTGATGGAACAACAACTGCGAGCTTGGCTACGCTATTCCGCAATTTTCGGACTCTACGTCCGCCCGTGCGTGCAGCCTACATCCAATCAGTTCAACCAAACCTCAACAGTAGTGGAAAATGGGCGTTTAGCGTGGCATGAGAGTGCAAAAACCATCCGCCTTCATCATATAAAAAGAATTTACATTTACGCGCTCCTACCTTCAGTTTTTGTACTTTACGTGATTGGGCTTATGGGGCATAGACCCATACCGGGCAATATTCTCAGTTGGATGGTGGCCACAATCTTTTATAGCTCACAAGCTTTTTCGACCTTTGTCATTGTCGCGGAAGGCATTTGGCGACAGCAGGAACATGAGGAATTCCTCAGGCTACTGCAAGAGATAGAGCTATCGCTGAAATTACGTCTCAACCAAGATGTTAATCTGGATTGGTGTGATCGAAAAGTGCGCTTCCTTTTAAATTATCTACTATGGATGTCGCTCATCTGCTACTACCTGGTTTTTTACTATTCACCTACGTTGGAATATAATGCTTATTTCTGGAGTATTCTTTGGTTTGTTTTCACAATGCGTTTTCGCTTGATCCAACTGTTGTTGTATGTGCGTGTACTGCAGCATTATATGGAGTGTCTCTGTATGAAAGTGCGTCAAATTGTAGAGCTTCGTGTGGCACCGAGTCGTCAACTTATGGACGTTAACTACGAGAAACTGCAATCACTGGAATACTTGCAGGCCATCAAAGAAATATATGCCCTACTCTTCAGAGAATTCCAGCTGCTTAATGACTTCGCGGGTTGGTCGCTATTCGGCCTTATAACTAACTACGCGTTTGACTTCGGCTTTACGGCGTATTGTATAATCATCACCTTTGAGGGCTGCGTAAAACATCGTAAACATTATTTCACCCTCCTTTGGTGGGTTTTAACCACGTCAGTTGTTGTTTGCCATATTTGCTTGCTGTGCGATAAATGCAAGAAACTGGTGAGTAGTACAGAGAGCGCTGAAAATTATTTTAATTTTTCTGCATTCAATACATACTTTTAGGAACACACCCTAGCAGCGTTGATGAGCAAAATAATCATAAGCAGCTCTTCAAAGTCATTGCGACAATATCGTCTTTTAGTTCATCAATTCTCGACACAACTACAGTTGCAGCCCATTGAGGTGACAGCTAAGCACTTTTTCACGCTGGACTTGCGCTTAATTACATGGGTAGGCCTGAGCATATGCTTTTTTTTGTGGGCTAAATGTGATCTGTAAACATTTCCTTTCCAATTTCTTTTCGCAGCTGACTCTTTCCACAATAACCTATTTGGTGATACTCATAGAGTTCTTAAGTTTATAGAACATATTTGTGTACTTGCTCACGTGTATTTGTTATATACTTCTTTATTAAGCTGAATAAAGGATACTATTTAGTGAGCCCGTATGGCGTTAAAACCCCAAATTTCAATTTTAATTTATAAACAGTTAGCAACCTTATTCGGAAATTAAAAAAAACATATTCTAAATATTTCATCTAAATCGGTACAGCCGTTACTGAGTGAAGGGAGCTCTCGCATGGTGCCGCTAAAAAATTCTAACTTCAAAAAATATAATCTTATTATTCATCTTTGAAATTCGAAGTAACGGTGCAGATCTGCTGACCTTGATAAAAAAATACTGTTTATAGATATTTCTTTTCGAATAGATGGCAACCCTAGTTGTGAATTTATTGGGCAGCATGACTCCAAAACTTCCTTATCTAAGCTGTGATACTCGAATGGGTCTGCTTTCGCGAAAGGTAGTTTGTCAAAACAAGGAAATTCGTAGGAGTTCTACAGGGATATCGCTTTGCATATTCTCAGGCAGTATAGTATAGGCCGGTGATCCCCAAAGTGGTCCAGGTGAACCCCCAGGGATCCACGGGAGACTCGACGGGGGTCTATGTTGGCGTGAAAAAATATGGGGGTTCACGAGTGTTAGGTCGGGGTGCTTGAAAATGTGTCTGGTTTTGGTCGTAAAGAATAAAAATGTTGACTTGGCTTTACGTACCAAAGTAGGCAGATAATATGTACCCTACCCAAAAAAAATAAGAGAGCAAAAAAATCCACATTTTTCAGAGATTTTTGACAAACTGATTTCTTGGCTAAAGTTTTAGTACCTACAGTAAACAAATGATTTTGCAATTTTTTTTTTTGGTCGCAGCAGAAGCCAATTCAACAATTTTTAGAATTTTTGTCTGTCTGTCTGTCTGTCTGTATGTTTGTACGCGCATAACTCGAAAACTAATGCATAAAATCGAATGCAGTTTTCGCCGATGCATTGCTAAAGGTCTAACTAGGTTAGAGTTGCCACCTGTATGAAAATTGCAGTTTAAGTAAATTGATAAGATAAAGTATTGCAATATAGCTGTCAGAAGAAAGAGTTTTAAGAAGGCTTACAGTCGAAAATATTCTTGTGAAAGATTGCCACCTGTTTGAAAATTTTAATTTGATTCAATTGATGAGATAAATTTAGTATTGCAATATGGGTATAGCACTTAAGAGGTTAACAAAAGTTTATTGCAGAAAATATTTTTGAGGAGAGTTGCCACCTGTTTGAAAAATTTTACTCAATTAATAAAATGATAAAAAAAAATTTTATATTACAATACCGGTATCAAACTAAAGAGGTTTAAGAAATTTTACTGCCGAAAATATTTTTGTAGGGGTTGCCACCTATTTATTCAGTTAAAGCTCTTCAAATCTATTTTATTTTTTATGAATAAAGCCATACGAGTTTTGGGAGGGAGTAACAGCACAAAAATACTTTTAAGGCGTAGCGAGGCATCCCGGGTATTTGCTAGTCTTTTATATAACTGTTGCTGAAGCCAGCGATCCCACGCCCAAATTTCCAAAACACTCGTTTATGTAGTGAGATGTTTGAAATAACTGGTGTTTATATTTATCCATTAGTTACAAGTGCTTTACAGATATTACAATAGCACTTACTTTAGTATTTTCAGGGATCTATCTGGATTTAATTAAATAATGTAGAATTTCTCACGCTCCTTGTAAGAAGTAAAAGGTAGAAAGGAAAGAAAGCGTAATGTCAAAAAACATCTTCAAGAAAACTTGTCGGTTGCCGTCACAGGGTGGCACATCGCAGTTATGGTGGTGCCGTAATTTCTTAACAATATCAAAGTTTTTTCGCCTGTATATTTACCTCACGCTCCCGTGCCACTCAAAATATTACTCCTCATAAAAGCAGAACGCTATTTTGCTTATCTATCCTTCATCACTCAGTAGTTTTGATCGTTGATAAACACAAGGGAGTGCTCATTGAGCTATCATTTGATGTATGCTCTAAATTTGATGCGCCGCTTGCTTTGTTGTTTCTCATAGATTTTTTCTAGATTCACTCTTTTCTCTATTGTCAGTTTCTGAATTAAAAGTTCGTGTTTTGATATGTGAGTGATAAATATTTTGCGCATCACTTTAAAACTCGGAGCGATGAAAGTAAAAATGATGCCGATAATATGAATACATAAACTCTTTTACTTATACTCCTGATGCAAGTTCATGAGTGAGCCAAATATGTGGTGAGTTTATGCTGAAGAGAATGTAAATAACACTAGCGCTCTGAGTTTTTGAAATTGTGAAGTGCTCTTAAAAAATATGACGCAAGATGTTTTCAATACGTCGCCTCGGTAAAATATTGTCGTAAGCGCCATTTTGACGATTTTTAGTTCTAGATGAAGTTATATATTTTGAAATAAGGTCTTTCGATTGGTGTTATCAGTTTTTAGATATCTCATTCAGTTTCCGAGATATTGACTACAATTTTTTGGATAATTTTGTAAAAAATTTAGTTAGTGATGCAGTCATATTAAACTAATCAATATCTTAGAAATGGTGTTCTCCTTTAGTTTCCGAGATATTGACTACAATTTTTTGGATAATTTTGTAAAAAATTTAGTTAGTGATGCAGTCATATTAAACTAATCAATATCTTAGAAATGGTGTTCTCCTTTAGTTTCCGAGATATTGACTACAATTTTTTGGATAATTTTGTAAAAAATTTAGTTAGTGATGCAGTCATATTAAACTAATCAATATCTTAGAAATGGTGTTCTCCTTTAGTTTCCGAGATATTGAGTAAAAAGTGTCGTTAATTTTGTAGAAATGTTGATCACATTTTGTCGTATTTCTTACAAAGTGGCTGCCAAATTGTGGACAAATGGCGCTTACGACAAAATTTTATTAAACAAAATCCTTCATAAACTCAAAACTAATTAACAATAAACATTAAAAATTAAATAATTTAAGAGTTTTGTGAACTACATAGTAACATTTTCAGAGACTTTGGAGAAAATCTATCTTCGTGTTTTTGAGAAATTGTATTCCAAACTTCAATCGCGATTTCCCGCAACCTACCGAAATTAACATACGACAATCTTTTACCCAGGCGACCCTATTATAGGTGATAGCAGTACCCTTTTATTTTTCTTCGCCTCACGGCTTCATATGTCAAATGGCTGCTGTTGATTGGTTGGAGCTGTTGATTGTTTATTGTTTTCTCTGGCATTCAAATTTGTTGGTGAGTTTTGATAATATGGTAGAAATGTAGCAGCAGGAGGTCCACCGATACCAGTAAAATTTTGAAAGTGGTCTAGGAGAAAAAATAATATTGAGCAATCGTGTGAAGTCGCTTACACAATAAGCAACTTAGATACATACAGTACTCTCCCCAGCCACTGTTGCATGGCTTTCAGTCACTTCAGACTAGCCGTCAATAAACAATGAAGCGTGTGCAAGCAAATATTACGAGATAAGTCAATTTTAATTACATAGTATAATCGATATTTAATATAAATATTTACCTAGATAATCTCAAAATCCAATAGTTAGGTATTTAGCTCTCACTATTAGCGCACACAAGGGGTGGGTTTTGGGGTCCAAACCCCCCTAAAGCTAATAAATAATAACCTCAATAACAAACTGTATCGTAAAGCTTAGAATGCAGCTCTCAAGTAAAACCACAAGAAGTATTTTTTAACCGACTTCCAATCAGTTCGTCGGAATCTTTTTTTTTTTTTTTTTTTTTAATGTATGTTACCGCATAACTTTGGACCACGTCAACCGATTTCGATAATCCTAATTTTTAGCAAAAAAAAAACCGACTTCAACTCTCATATAAAAAAAATATATATATATATATCTCATGATCCACTGATCGGATCTTAACCAGATTAGTATGGGACCACCTCTGAGATACTACCTTTCCGATCGAAATCGGTTGACGTGGTCCAAAGTTATACATAAAAAAAAAAATATTCCGACGAACTGATATCGAGGAAAATGAACATAAAAGTGTAAAAATTTCATGGAATTAATTTATTTATTTTTATTAAAATTCTTTTGTAATCTTTTATATTACTTTTTTTTAACGAGTACATCTTAAAAAAAACACAACCGACTTCAAATCTCAGATAAAAATTTAGGAGTACCGTTAATTTTTTCATGATCCAATGATCGGATCTAAACCAAATTGCAAACAAAGTGCAATTGCCAAATAAAATGCCATTTATGATATTTTAAAAAGTTTATTTATTTATTACATACTGTACTTAAAACTTGCATACATTTATTTTAAAGAGCATATTATCTGAAGCGAGTTTTCAGTATTTTCTGGTGATTTATCTTTAGAAGTATAAAGCCCTCCGGCCCCCAAAAACAATATATTCCTGAGTGCGCCCCTGGCTCTCACCCTCCTCTTGGTTTCCTTCACTTTACTGGCTTCAGCAAATTGCCTAGTTATCTACTTGAGTGACACCCATTCGATTGCACATGTTATGGAACAACAACTGCGAGCTTGGCTACGCTATTCCGCAATTTTCGGAATCTACGTTTGCCCGTGCGAGCAGCCAACAGTCAATCAATTTAACCAAACCTCAAAAGTAGTGAAAAATGGGCGTTTAGCGTGGCATGAGAGCACAAAAACCATCCGCCTTCATCATATAAAAAGAATTTACATTTACGCGCTCCTACCTTCAGTTTTGGCACTCTACGTGTTTGGGCTAATATGGCATGGACCCATACCGGACAACATGCTCAGTTGGATGGTGGCCACAATCTTTTACAGCTCACAAGCTTTTTCAAATCTTGTCATTATCGCGGAGGGCATTTGGCGACAGCAGGAACATGAAGAATTCCTCAGGCTACTGCAAGAGATTGAGCTATCGCTAAAATTGCGCCTCAAGCAAGATGTCAATCTGGATGGCTGTGTTCGAAAGGTGCGCTTCCTTTTAAATTATCTACTATGGATGTCGCTCATCTGCTACTGCCTGAATATCTACAATGTGGTGTCGTTGGAATATAATGCTTACTTCTGGAATCGCCTTTGGTTTGTTTTCACAATGCGTTTTCGCTTGATCCAACTGCTGCTGTATGTGCGTGTACTGCAGCATTATATGGAGTGTC